AACCAAAGAGCTGAACCCTAATCTGAGCGCCTACACCACAAGATCAAATCACCAGAATCCCAGCCAGAAACATATTCCTCAACCTGTAATCTTTGGACGCCAGTCCTCCGGGAAAAAAAAAAAAGATGATCTTCAACCGTATAAGCCCAACCCTAAACCCTCTATACACCCTAAACCCCATACCCGCTTTAACCCCGATTCCTGAAATAATCCCAACATTGCCCCCACCCCTTATGATAGGGAGCGCCGCGTCTCCTCGAGCATGCTGCCACCGCAAAGCGCAGCTCACCGGACACAGCTGCGCAAAAGATGGGGCTTTTGCTCAAGTCGTCTGTAGAGGAGGTTTGCTGTAGGGCTTGGGGGTTAGAGTTTGTAGGGATTACGTGATTTTTAGGATATAGAGCCCAGAGAGAGTACGATTTTAGGGTTCAGGTCTGCAGAGCTTCTGGTGAACTCCTAGTATGACGTTTAGTAGCCCTCATAATTCTGCCCTATATCATCCCCTACATAACACCCTTTAAGAAGTTTAGATGTAGCTCATATTAGGTGCACCCCCCCCCCCACCCTGCAATACTGGCGCAATGGGAATATGAGAGGACCCTACTTTGATCACCATTATCACGTATCGTCACTATTACAGGGTGAGGGGTCCACCTGATTTCTAGAGCTGCTATTCCGTGGTGTTTCCAAAGATGGGGGCTCCCGTTTTGGGAGTCGCCATAAGAAAGAGTATAGTACGGTGTGGGTGTAGATTTGGGTCTGCCTATTTACGGAAACGACACGTGAGGTCTTAAATTTTGAACGCTTGGAAAGTTAAGGCGGCAGAGAGTCCCTGACAGTAGGCTCCATGCGGTCTAGCGTTTAGGGTTTAGGGATCGGAGGGGGGCTAACTGGTTCTTCTACCCAGCTGGCTTTTTAATCCCATGGTACAACGACAAACCCTAAACTTTAAAGGCTGTTTTATAGTAGACCTACCTAACGGGGAGCTGTAAAGGGCTCTCATGGCAAACAGGGAACCTCCAAAAATGTGGTAGGCATATACCATATACTGGGCATATGCATACCGAGGTCCTTATAATCCTGATACATTCCTACTATATTCTCGGGGTTCCCTATTTGGGGTTCCTAGTGTAAGCCTTGTAAGCTGCGCGTGCAGAGGAACAACAGCTTGACGGCCAACAATTTGAAGGGCCCACATTGTGACAGCCAAAGACTCCACAAGACAGCTTCCTAACCACTGCAAGGGATAGCAGGGAATTAGGGAATCTATCCATCTATTTATATATATATATATACATATATGGTAACCCGCCCCCCTAGGACCAACCTTTTACCTTTTCCCTTCATGAGTCCCTCCTTGTGTCATGTACGTGATGTGAGAATATATATATATACATATATAGTTTAGGGTTCGTAGGGATAAAAGGGTATGTAATATATGGAGATTACATAGAGACTATATTCCCTTATTCCCCACACGCCCCAAAGTAGGAGTGTTCTTCCGATCCTTATCAGTATACCTGTTCTTCCTAATAGGGCTACTGCTGTATTTGTCATTCTTACTACATTCTTACTAGATGTGGCCATTTTGAGGATTCTAGCAGCAACAAACCTGAAGGAGGCCACGCCTTGACAGGCTGAAGGGACTGACGTATGCGGGTTTAGGGTCTAGGATTCCCACCTTTAGTCTAGTGCGTAAAGTCCCGGCTTTAGTTTTTCGTGTTTTCTTGCAGCTTGGGAGAATACCTCTAATGGCCTGCGTGGCGGCTGTCGTACTCGAGTCCGTTTGAGAGAGAGAGAGAGAGAGAGTCTAGTTGGCTTGCAGAGGGTCTCCGGGCTACTTTCCAAAGTGGTGGGAATTAGGGGGAAGTAGACTTCACTTATGGCTTATTAGATTTCTACGTTGGTTCCTCAACCTAAACTGCCTTTGCGTCAGCCTCCTCTAGTTTTTTCTAATCGCGAAACCCTAAACCCTAAGAATCTGTGAGCCTTAAACCCTGAACCTTGGCTCAAAAGGGCTACAGGCTGAGCCATTGCATCATCTTCAAGGCATGAGGTTTGCAGTTGCCAGGACCCTCCTTGTTCCCTTTAATTACTTAGGGGTATATGGTATCTAATTTCGAGTATAGAGAGGGTAGATGGCGGGTAGGAAGAGGGTCAGCGACTTAGCCAGTGGAGCCACCCTCAACCGTCAAATCTCATCTCCGAATGGACCTCTGCACTCAAGAAGGAGGACTGCTTTATGTCAGGTTTTGGGGTCTGCAAAAGCCCTACGGGTTAAGAGTTCAGGGTTCATGCAGCCTTTACTGAGCAGCAGCTTCAGCACTTTACCCACGGCAAGTGCGAAACGCAAAGTCCCCGGTCACGGTTCATTCCATGCCCAAACAATGGACTATTCCACGTGTTTTCCATGAACTCCATGCTATTAACTTCATTCTAATGATCAAATAATGGCCCTCAATGTAAACGTACGAGACGATGACATCAACTTCAGAACTTGTGGCTTCAAAGCATGGCCGGGGAACTTCAAACATGCGTGTCAGGCTCAAATCAGCCCCCACCGGCTCGGGTCATGCTCGCAAGAGATGCATCTCAGGGTTTCGAGCCTCAGGCGATCATTTAGGTTTTGGGTTTTCTAGGTGTAGCCACTAGGTGGTACATCAACTGTTGTGCCTTCACCCATGGCATACGTACAGCTTTCTCGCATAGCACGTTATTGGGATACAGATTCTTGCTGCATACCAAGCCGCTTGCTGGCAGATGGTCCGCTGAAGTGTGTGGGGAGGCCGCGAATAGTCGGACTGCTGGGCTGGTAGATGCAACTCCATTTGTGTAAGGCTGAAGAGGTCCTGCTAAGTGCTTAATAGCATAGAGCTGTCAATCTGTAAGCAAGTTGGACCTCCTAATGTACAATGGTACCATATTGGGGCGGATTACCATTAGGGTGTGGGGGGAGGGGTTCGTTATGAGGTGGAGGGGGTTACTAAGCTGTAACTACAAGCAGATGGCCTGGAGAAACCCTGAATTCTATCTACAGGCAAATGGCCTTGGGACTCGCGGGCTTTGGGGGTTGTTCGAGACTGAGACTGATGACAGCTTTCAGGCGTGTTATCATCAAGTTCAAGGGTATTGGCTTCTGGTGTGTAGGCTTTAGGGGTTTAGGGTTTATAGGGGCTATGACTATGAGCACATGGGAGAGAAAGGGTTTAGGGACTGGGTAAACATCTTGTGAGCCCTTTGGCCTTGTTTCGTTCAACCCGCGCTTCTTTCCACGCGAATGTGGAAACAAGGCATGTTCCAGGCAAGTTGTATGGACCTCACGTGGCGTGAGGCCAAATAATCATGTATATAATTTGTAAGAGTGATAGCGCCAAGCTGCCTCGTGTCAGGTTGGTGCAGAGATCACTGGGCCGCAGACATAAAGAAAACAACACCATATTCGCAAGAAGGAACAGTCAACATACCGTGACAAATCGTTGGTGATATATCCAAGTAAGGAGCTGTTCCTTATTACTTTCGGCACTATTCCCAGACTATGCGCAGGAGTCCATGCGGCCGCCTCCCTTCCTTAAAGAACATATGGTAGTTTCCATAAACAGCGGTACCGCACCGTAGACCCCAATATACAACAATCCTCATTATGGAGACCTGCAACCTCGTACCCCATACAAACACAACCCACCGAGTTGGCCACCCTGCTTCACAAGTCTTTGTCGCAGGCGAGGAGTACCTGACGGTGTTGTGTTTGGAGCTATTCTAGCAGCAATCCTTTGTTCTGAAAGATCCACAGGCTTTCCTTGGGCATGTGCAGTCCTCTCCAGAGGCAGAGTGTACGATTATTCAGCCCAACCCAGGTGTAGTCCCGCTGATGAGCTCACATGCCTTGCAATGGTGCTTACTCATAGTTCAATGCAGGGATTTCTGAAGCCCCTTATGCATCAACTATTGCGACAAACTTCCATATGGCAGGTTTCACGTTGCCGCTTCTGGTTATCTGCGCGCGTTCCTCAGATTTTCTTGATTCTTCCCAATCTTTCCTGTCCCTTGAACAAGCTTGAGAATTTTTGCGGTCACAGAAAAACATAAGCCAAGAGGCTAAAGTTGGAACACCAGAGATATACACCTAAGAACTTCTGGGTGTGGGGTTTTTGTTTGGAGCCGTGTGGCAATGCATTGTTCATACGTGGCTTTCGTGGTGGCAGACTAGTGACGCCTTTTGCTTCTGTGCATGAGAAGCCCCTAGTGTTGTGTTCAGCTTAGGTGCTACTTTTGGGACCCCTCTGCGTTGCCTAGGCAGGCCCCAACGGAATTGCCAGCCGCTCCCTTGGATTTGCCCACGTGTTCCCGCCATGTCTTCATGGCATCCAACGGCAGTCTTGGTAGGTCAAAACCACAAAATGCAGAACTTGTCAGATGAAATGTGATTTTGGGGTGTTCAACAGCCTTTTTGGAGAATAATATCCCCGTACAACAGGCCGCTACTCCCAAGCCCAGGGCTCCGCACCAAGCTGATTACAACATTCCGCTGCATATCTACCAGTGCGCCAATTCTCTTGGAATAGGGCCTAGGGCTCAGGCTTTTTTTGAGGCATACGACTTTTCTGGTACAGGTCTACATACATATTTTTCCTGCCGTGTCAGCGCCGCTCTTCCGCATTCATGTTTCAAACCCTCATCGGCAGTTATGACCTTGGCGTTGCGCGTTGCTCAGGGTCTGCAGGTTAGGGTTTAAAGCTCGGCATGGTGCATTGGACCTTGTCTTTGCATATGAAGAGATTTCATTTTAAGATCAAGCCCTTGCCCAGCTGGTTGTTCCTGTCCGGAGCTGCTAAGCAGCGACGGAGGCACCACTGGGCAGTGCTAAGAGGTGTAACGCAGCAAAAGCATGCACAAACTCATAGATTCTGGGAACTCATCATGGTCAAGAAGGACAGTGATATCGATGGTTCACCACGAGATATGGGAACCAGGGCATACGCTAAGTTAATCTTGTGATGATGATGTCCCTCTGGGCCGTGCTGTGTCTGTGTGGCTTGGCTACATGGGCTGCGACAGACGAGGAGCTGCTGTCAGCAGTTCGCGACAAAGATGCAGAAGCTGTTCGAAGGCTGCTCAGCCGCAGCAGCTTCGAAATTAGCCAGATGTGGTTCGTAAATGCAGATGGATCGAACTCCACCATGCTCCATGAAGCTCTTCAGACTGGTCACTCAACAGCGGGCGCAGAGGTGTTGAAATTACTGTTGGCAGCTTGGCCGGAGGGTGTGCATGCAAGGGATAAGCGGGGCCGTGTGCCTTTGCACGCTGCGTGTTCGTTCGAATGGGTCGGATTCGGCCTCTCTGACAGACTCGAAGTTGTGCAGCTTCTGCTGCAGCTCTGGCCTGACGGGGCCAAGGTTGCAGACGACTTGGGTAGACTGCCCCTGCACGATGCAGTCTTCAGTGGCAATCTTGAGGCTGCGCGCCTCATACTGAATCAGTGGCCAGCTGGTGTGGAAGTTGTTGATAGCTTTGGTAGAGTGCCCTTGCACATTGCAGCTGGCGAAATGGTTGCTGTCGATCGTGATGAGCTCCTCTTATACGTGCAATTTCGGTCTATCGTTTCGGGAGACTATTTGGAACTTGTACAGCTCCTGGTGGAGGCCTGGCCTGAAGGTCTCACTGTGGCTGATCATCGTGGCAGAACGCCTTTGTATGTCGCGGTGGAGGATGGAAAGCTGCAGGTGGCACGCTGGATGTTTCGGAAGTCAACACCGCCTGCCTATACACGTGAGATGCCCTGCGACATCCTGATGGAGCTGGCTTGCAACACTAGTGAGGCTACTCAGCCCTGGCAGGAAGCTGCACGAGATCTACGGTGTTCAGACCCAGAACTTCTTCTCAGGCCTGCCTTGCAGTTGTGGCTGGATGTCTGTGGCGGCCGCCCCAGCTACTCTAATGATTTTGGCGCGCTCGCAGAGCGGCTGACAGACCGCGAAGCGAAGGACGAACCAGTTTGGGTTTTAAGGGAGTTCCCTTTTGCCTTTTTGCCCCGCCAGGGCGAGACCAGAGCTCCGAGCTCTCCACTTCCCAAGCAACTGCTCATATCAAGTAGTTGCATAAGGGGGAATTAGGGTAGTTGCAGGCAATCACTCGACCACCCCGAGCCCTCCAGGAGTTCTTGCACTCTCTCGCGGGGGACCGGATTCTAACGGCCCTGGCAAACTGGATGACTTGGGTGGTTCCCATCGCCGCTGCAACTGCAGCCCTTGCTGCTGTGCAATTGGAGAGGCTGGCCGCAAAGTTCATGCAGAGGCAAAGCAAGGGTCGGATGCAGGACGAGAACGTCCAAGATGAGTTTTTGCAGTCAGCGAAGGTGTTGGTTAGCCAATCTTTCGCCAAACGACTATGGCTGCTCAAGCTGTGGCGCTGGCTCGAGGCATTGACCGCCGTTTTCTGGAGCGGCTTCGCGCTGTTGGTCATGCACTGGATGTGGTGGTTGCCCCTGGTAGTTGTTGTCCACGTTGTCCCAGCAGCCCATCTCTACGGAATTCGGAGGCTACTCCAATCCCCTGCGTTGGCCATCATGACCAAGGGCACGGCAGCACAGGCTTTCTTTTATGTTCTGCTTGTTGATGTGTTTCTTTCAGCATTGTAAGTCACTATCCGTCAGCAGATTTTTTAGTGGCACCGCACCATCAGCAGCCATGAAGCGGTCGCTGCTGCTGCTGCTGTTTTTTTTTTTTGTTCTTTTGCTGTTTGCTGTTGCTGTAGTTGTGACTCAGCGCTGGCAGTACTGCTGGTGATGGTGGTAGTACCACTGAAACCTGTATTTGTTTTTTCTTTTCTCGTTCTAGTATTGGATCAGTTCAGGATCTCGCTGCATACTACATGATTCACGGGCCCACGTCTTGCGGAAACGTTCTGAGATAGGCTAAGAAGAAAGGCACACGGCGGTGAGGAGCTGCCACAGGCATCCCCCCCAAGCTGTAGATTTCCACGAAATTTGGAGCGCATGATAGTAGTTCGGAGACGTTTTGCAACGTGCAGCAGTTTCACCTGGAACTGAAGCAAATGCCTGTAAGCCAAAGCCGTGCAAGGCCCAGTAAAAAGGGGCCATGGGCTTGAGAGTGGCCTGAGGCTGTGGCGGCAAATAACGAAAGAAGAAACGCAACATGCGACAGCGCAATTGATACAACAACTCCTGCATGGAATCTTGCGTGACCCTAAATACCTTAGGAATTGTGGCGTTTTTGTAGGCCAACGCCACGGAAATCCTGAGTATGCACAGTACTGCGCCCCCAGCTTCCAGTGGCAAAACGAAGCGTCTCTCCCCACACATTTTCTGGAAGTCTTGTCCAGCATGCGCTCTTGGGCCATTCGGTTCCTCCAAGAGAAATTCGCACAGGCATAAGCACGCAAAGGCTGCGTAGGAATGTTCAACAAACATCTAACGTGGACATGAATGGTCCTTTCTACAGTGATTTGTCACCTTTGTTTCAAGCAGCCGCAGGCAGGTCAGCAAGGGGTTCTAATTAAGATACGCAAAGATACGTAGAGCTACGCGGTTGCGCAAGGTCAAAAAACATGGAAGGCAATACACAAGATGAGGCTAAACGTATGAGGCCCCAGTAACAGCCTGCCAATAGCATCTTGCCTCAGCAAATTGCTCTGTTGCGCAGCAAGAAGTAGGCCCCATGCTGACATATTCTGAAACTCAGCATCAATATACGTGTGAGCTTCAGGTATCCACCCGCAATCCCGGAAGCCGTAACCCCAAAGCCTCAAAACCTCACCGCCCACACCCCTCAAGCTGGAAACCATTCATCAGACCTGTACCAGACGTGCTTATGAAGCTCGAATAGTTTCACAAAGTTAGGTTGAAAATCTTTACATCCTGTAGTATCGGAAGCCGCACGGCCGTGGTGCAGATGGGTTGGGGTGATGTGGCATTGTATAACAAGAGTACAGCAAGGCGCAGTTCTCGCAGTTGTTAATACAAAGACAGACGTAGTTTTATGTTTCGGCAATGCAAGCTGCAAGCTTGCGGTAAGAAGAGGCGAAAACTGCAGTCCAGGTGATCGGCTTACTTCGCACGATTGCTTTGTCGGGGATCGCTGCATATGTGGTGCTGGCAGGCGCTGTTCCAGCTGGCTCATCATCATGGATCCGCAACATGGTGAACCCGCTTTTTGAAACTTGGACAAGAAGCAAGATGGCTGTCCAATGGCCAGCGAGTAAGCTGAGTGACCACTGGTTGTTTCAATGGGTCCCGTACCTCAATTTGCATGCCGGGCATACTGTCTTTACTTGGGTTGCCATCGCAATCTCGGGTTCGCTGGGCCTGTACTTGGCTGGTCTTCTGCTCGCCAATCTCTGCAGTGCTGTGCGGTTTCTGCGCAGCCGAATTTATGGGGTCGGCATGCGCCCCCGGCACTTGCCTGCCAACCAAGACAAACAGGATGCTGTTCGGGATTTGCTGGCGAAGTCCAAGGAGGAGTTTCCCAGCAACATCAAACCCATTGTCGTCTTAACCTGGCCGTGGCGAGGCGGCTTGTTGCAGCAAGTGGCTCTGCTGCTGCTGGACGTCGGGCTTGATGTCAACACCATCTTTACCTTCCTGGTTGCCCAGCATTTCTGGTTCGCCGCGGTGACAACCTTTCTCGTGGTTCGGAGCATGCTGAAGCAGCTGTCGGTGCTCCCTTTCTGGCATCTCCGGCAGGCTTGCATAACGTTTGGACATGTTTGGGCCATCTTTGTGTTTTCCCTGTTCTTTGGGCAGGCTATCCAGGAAAGTGGGCAGAGAGGCCTCGTCCGGAAGGATCTCTTCGATTTCCTCGAAGTGGCCAAGCGTCATTGGTGGAACTTATACTTACACCTGTAGAAATTCGAATGGGATTTGTGAATGGTTTGGCTCACGGGATCCCAGACGATCTGACAGGTGAGCGTTGATGCTTGTTCGTTTGCGGAGGTCTCTTTCTCATTGACACGGGGCAGGGGGGTCAGATTTGCAGGGTTGGCGAAGACGATTTTTCGAAGACGATTTTCGGACCTTCTGGCCCAGGGGATAATAACGCCCCCGTTCCCATGTCCCTGCTTTTTCTCGTGGGCCCAACTTATCGTGTTAGGAACCCTTTTCGTACAGGCACGCAAGTCATAGGCTGCGACTGAGTGGAAGTTGTCTGCAGCCAAGGAGGAGAAACGCTCAGAGGCTTTCTTCTGTGGTTGCATCACGGCCTACTCCGTGTGCTACTCTGTGCAGACAGCTGCTTGACAATTTTCCAGGTATGCGTTAACGTCTTTCGTGCTTGAAGCGCAACCGCTGACTGTTTTGCTCCCAAGTGAGGCTGATCAACTCCTGGTGCAGTTTGGGAGCATCTTCCTGAGCACGTGGCTGTTTGCAGGCGACGCAAAGCAAACATGAGTTCATGACTGTCAACATGTGCGCTGTGAGTGTTGCTTCGGTATTAGTTCTTGTGGTCTGTTGAATCATGCACAACGTCCTACTTGTACTTAGTCACAGGGTAAAGTTTGAGTGCCTTCAGGCTTGCACTTTGTTGTCCGAAAAGTTGGAATCCCTCAAGCCTTCCATCTTCCCAATAACATAGCCGCCATGAGACTCCAGAAGAGGCCCGTGATTTTGAGAAGCTTGAAGCCTCACTCCTATACAATCCATGCTTCGAACCTCACATCACTTGTGTCTTATGTTCTTAAACAGCGGAAGACTCCTGCACCCCAATTCGTTGGCTTTCGGTCATGCGTTGGGCAGGCTACGCTGTGCAGGTGTGCGACCTCTACTTCGACATGAAAGAGGATCTAATTTGCTGATTCCATTAATGTTTTCAGGGGTTTTTGGATCCTGGGGCATCTGTTTCCTGCCCCAAGCCCTCCGCGGACTTGTATGCCGATGGGCCGAGAGTTCTGATGCGACTTCTTTAGTGCATTAAGAGAAGGCCCTTAACGCTCCCACGTTACCAAGTGCCACTTTCCGGATGCCCCTCCTGAATCCAGCATCTCCTGTTCAAGAAAGTAGGATTAAGGATTGCGTTCTCAACTGATATTATATGTAACCCCTAAACCCTATCAATTTTCTTATCCATCATCACTACATAATATCCTACATTACAAAGTCCTCAAGGAAAGAGGCCCGCAGTTACCTGGAGGGGGTGGTAGTGTCTTATCATTCGTGATTGGAAGGCAGCGAAGACAGGGATTCTAGCAGCTACATCTGAAGATATCCAAATTCGCGATATAGTACGTAAAGCGGGCATGTGGTTGTTCTGGATGGGGCCTTCCTGGAAAGTTGATCCGAAACCTTGGCCACCAACCCCGCGCCTGAAACCTAAACCTTGACACTGACGCAGAACTCCCACAGCCGGTGCCTATGCCAGAGGCAAGGGCCCTTTGAGTGCTCATAGGGTTGTGGACGTTTTCTGCAACAAAGAGACGAACAATCTTATCCGAATGGTTTACGGGCCCTTGGATAAGAAGGATGTTGATGCACTTAGCTGAGTAATCTCGCAGATCGGAAGTGTTGTTATGGTGATGATGACCCGCAAGCTTAACTTTGATAGACTTTCTTTGTTCTATTGTTGACAATTACGGACAATCCTCTATAACCTCAGGTTACTAGAACGCCATATTTCAGCACCTAGCTGGACACTCAATATCAACCCTATCAACCCCATAACGAGCAACTGAGCCGTCAGCAATCGTAGTAGCATGGAAATCGTCACAGCACGAGCAGCAATTGCCGTGGTTGTGGTAGTCGTGATGTCAGTCTGCAACGAGTTTCCATGACCTGTTCCATTAAACATGGAAGAGACACTGGAGGCCACCATGTAGAAGCTGGAAGCAAATCTATAGTACTTAGAGGCATCCTTGCCATTTTTGCATGTTCTTTTCACGCTGTGGTCACTCGGGAATGAAGGCTCCGCGAAGCACAAGCAGCTGAGGGTCGGAAACTCTGAAATTTCACCCATGAACCTAAGATTCTGAAATCGTGAAGCCTGAAGCCTGAGCCATCCTGGGCCCGACCCTGATCCGAAGCCCTGAAAGATCTGCAGGACAGCAGCAGCTTACATGAAGCCGATCTGAAATTGCCAAGCCCCGCCCCACAGGCAGGGACCAAGAATCTTGAATTGCTTGGTGCCCACAACGCCATAAAGGTAGTACTGTGAGAACCATGGCAATTCAATGTGTGTGTCTGAGGTGTTGTAGGGTTTGGGGCTTGCGTCTTAGCACCCTGAGCGTCAAGGCTTTGAGATTCTGAGCGAAATTGGTACATGTTGGAGGAACTACGGAGATGGCAAATGGAAATGTTAGAAATGGGAAAGGACGCAGCACTCAAATTGCACATTTAACTAGTCAAATGAGTCAAACGAAGCAGGTTTAACTTGCATTCAATACCGCTTGGAGTTTTAATGCTGGAAGAAATGCCAGTGGTAGTAGTGGTAGTGGAGTTGAAGGTTGCAAGCTTCTCCGTGCAGGCAGGGGCCAGAGATCAAGGTTTTGGTGGTGTCATAGCGCCATAGTGATGGTTGACAAGCATTTCACTGCGTGACCTTGAAGCTTAAGGGGCTTGCTTTTTCCCAGGCCGAAAGTGTCAACACTTGACTGAGATTCTGCTGATCAACTCGTGATACATGTTGCGAAAATGCCGGAGATAGCGATGGTACAATGCTATTGCAGTGGGAGCAGAGGTGCAGAGGTGGTACTACAAGTTGCTGATGTTGTTTTTCAGTGATAACACCTCCATCCAACACCACTGTAGTACTAGTCAGAAAATCCTCCTGCCAACTGACATCAGCCAGCATATCCACAACAGCTGAGGGCTAACCATTCAAAAAACTGCTGAGGGCCCTCTTGCTGACGAGATGTTCCAGAAAGACGAGGTCGAGGAGACGTGGGTTTCCGTAGTTGCCAGCGACACGAAGGAGTCGGTCGCCACGGATGTCGCAAAGGATGACAAGGTGTTGAGTAGCCAAACTGAGTCGAGTTCTGCAGCCCAGAAGGGGAAAGCGCCCAAAGTGCGCGCGAAGAAGAAGCGTGGGAGGCGCGGCCAGAAATCCAAATCTTCCAAGCCTCCTGACTTAGCAGTGATAATTGGTGCCTCCGAACAGGCAGGCAAGTCGTGAGCTTTGATTCAGGGCCTGGCGTGCAATTCCAGGAATACACTTTAGGAAACATTGCTTTCGCTTTCCATGTCGTTGTCCTTCGTAAGGTTCTTCAAGAAGGCCAGCTTGTGTTATGAGGAATTCGTTGCATGACTTTCCATCGAAGAAGATGGCTTGGGAGCGAGAGCTTGATGACAAAGTCCGCATGTAGGCACTCGCCTTCAATCCCCAGAGGGTCCAAGAAAATACTCAATAACTAGGTACTTGGGTTTGGGGTAGTAGTAATAAATAAAGGATAGGTTTTGAGCCAGTATATGATTCTTAGGTACTTGTCGGGGGGATTCTTGATTTCTTGGCCAAGTTTCAGTCAAGCTCTTCGGCTCGAAGCGGCAAAGCGTCAAAGGGTCTTCCAAGGAAGCAAATCCTGAAAGCAGGATCTTCCAAGCCCCCCTTTGGACGTAGCACACATTTCAGGTGTACTGCCAGTTCTCGGTTTGAGCAGCCTGCTGTACAGACTTAACAGGCGTAATCCCCACTCAAAGATGTGCAACAGTCAGTTTGCTGCTGTTGCGGTATCAGGGTGCAGCACTGACTCACCTGGGTGGGACGGAACGGCCTGGAAAGCCAAGGCTTCCCCAGCGAACAGATCAAGCGGGATCCAGTTGGTGGCAAGGCCGAAGCATCCAAAGGACGAATCCCAACGGAGGCAGCGAATCCGGAAATCCGGACCTCCCAAGTCCCTCAGCAACGCAGCCCTTGGTGCCTCGGAACCTTCAGGCACCTTGCGTTAAATGTTCTGAGAATGCCTATGACTTATCAACAATCAGGTGGGCCGTTTGCAGCTCAGTGCCATATTCATACATCTCTACTTCTCTCATACAGTTATACCCATAAGATATACACATTCATACTTAAGTATCGCAGAACTAAATGGCTCCTCACGCCAAGAGCTGTGCAGTTTGCTGCCGTTGCACTGCCGAAGTGCAGCTATTGACTCTCCTCGAAATGTATCATTTTTGTCGAATCACAAGCGCCAGCATTCTTGCTATGTGCTCCTTTGCCGAGCAAGCTTGCCATTTCCAGGCACCTGTAACTGTAGCTTGTAAAAAAAGATTTGCACAAGTGCCCGAAACACGAATGGAGTCAGCGCGTGCCTTTGCAGTCAGCGGCGGGATTTAGTGGACTTCCGCTCCTTAGTGCCTTAGCCATCCACCAATCAAATCTACCCATCGATAGCAGCTTTCCGTAGGACACGAGTACATAAAGCTTTCTGGCATCGCATGAGCAACCCCATCTGAACCCGACTTCCGAAGCCTGAAGCATGACTTGCTGGTGGTTGGTTGGGAATGAGGGAATTAATTTACATTGATCCCTATTTGATATATTCCCTTATCCCTACTAACCATCAGAAAGATAACCCACAAACCCACCCAACCTGCATCCTCTAGGCGCCTACGCCCCTGCAGCCGTGCCTTTTTTTGCGCTCTTCAAGAAGGCATAGCAGGAGATTTTTGGATTCTTTGTTGAGTTTGGGTCCTTTTGGGCTTTAAGGCTTATGGCATGTATTTCTTAGTGTGCAAGTTGCACTTGGTTGAACTCTTGGGGGTTAAGTTTGCACTTGCCTTCAGTTCCTGTTCTTCGGACTCTGCTCTACCCGTGAACTTCTGAATGCAAGGTCCTCTTTAGGACTTGGCCCTGTAGATCTAGATTTTTGGGGCTAAGCCCTAAACCCTAGCGCGGGCAGGAGGCTCGAGATACTTGGCAAGAAGTCATGATTGGCTAATTCTACATCGTGTGCATTCCTGCATCAAACCTAAATCAAGGGGGCTTTACCCCATGGCAAGCCATGAACCTCTGAACCGTCAGCCCTCAAGCCCTCGATCCTACGCCCTCCACTCCACCCCATAGCCCCAAGACCTACGCCCTCAAACCCTATATCCTAAACCCGCATCTTAACTGCTGAGTGCGATGCGCGTGCCTAAGCCCGAATCTTTAGAGTTTAAACCATCTTCAAACCCCAAAGTCCCAACCCTGTAATCCCCAAGCCCTTAACCCCTCAACCCTAAATCCCCAAACCCTAAAGCCTCCTAAAGCAGGGGGCACAGCTCCTGTTCGCGCAGCCTGCGCTGTCCTTCGCGGCTGGAGCAGCTTCACTTTTTGAGCCGCGGAAATGAGGTCGATTTTGGGTGGGTTTAGGATCTAAGGCTTAGGGCGCACAAAGGGGCTATAAAAATGTATAACATATGGGATATGCAGCAAGAAAATTGACACGGCACGTCAGTTTTAGCCCCCAAGGGGCTATAGGGAAAGGGATATATGGGATGTAGTATGGAAAAGAAAATGGAAGCTACTACCTTGCTTTGGGTTTAGAGGTTGATAGGGTTCAACCTGTAACCCCAATTACCTGCAGTGGTCCAAAGCAGACATGAAAGACTTGTTTTTTTGCAGTAAGTACGAATTATGTGTGTGCCGTCACAGTAAAATCAGTAAAAAACCATGGCCCCTCCCTTGATTAGTCAATAGGGACTGAAGGATATGGGGTACAGCGACTGAAACTCGGGATTCTCTAGGAACTTCTGTAGGGATGGAGTCCCAACCCCCGTAGATGCTCAACCTACCCAACTTAGATTTCATGTGGTAGTTGCAATTTTCTTTCCGTTCCTACTCACCACCGTAAAGTCATTCGGTATCTAGACTTGTGGAGCATCACAAATGCACAAGAGAACATGACTTGGAAGCTTGCCTTGTATGCAGATAGAACGCCTGACTCATGACCAGTATTAGTCATACATAAAAGCTGTAGCATGATATGCACCCTATGCAGGACCTTTAGGCTTCTACCTTAGGTGCCCAGCATTAAAAGACCTATAGCAGAGTCCCTGCTTTCACTTGTAATTGCATTCCATGGGAGAGCAAAACCACTTCAGTGACATGGTTTTACTTCCTGACATAGCTACAGTTAAAGGTTCATGGCCAGCACCATGCCGTTGAAAAGACATTGACCCTCGTCATACCTTTAAGTACAGCTTCCCATCATGTTGAAGAAGTATAGTTCCCGAATCTTCGCCGTAAGGAGAGCTATGTTGACGTTCTGATTGTGCCGAACCTGAAAGGTGAAATTGTGTTCAACAGAAGCCCGCGTCAGCATCACTAACTTGCTCTGGATTTGAACCCGGCGCTGAACCCTAAACCATGTGTAGAGCCTATGGGAGTTCTCAACTGTCCGCCCTCTCGGCATTCCCGGCTGGCATCCTCAGCTTGCTTTGGAACCCAAAAACCCTAAAACCCTGTAAGCCGGTTTAAGGTTTAGGGCTTCAGGGGTTTTAGGTTTTAGGGGGTTTAGGGCGCTTTCAGGTCTAGAGCTTAGGCAGTTTTAGGGTTCAGGAGCAACACAGTCTCGAGATTGAGGTTTTAGAGATGTTGGCTTGATGTCTCAAGCACTGATGAGTTTGCCAACATGATGGGTCCTTTTCGGATACGTTATGTACTGGATGGCCTTACTTTCAAGGTCTATAGGCGCACCGTATTCGAAGAAATACCCAGATTTTTCTGGCAGCCGCTAATAGTCATGATTTTTCCCAAGCTTCTGAGGCCAACGTGTGGAGTAAGGTCTTTGTGTAGAGGGTCTGGGACTTACTCTTTGTGCTGTATTCTGAAACTTTGTTTTTTTGACGTCGATGCTGGCACAGCCTCATAATCTTCAAATTGGTAGTATTTACTGTTGACGAAAACAATGCGGCACGACCCAATAAACTCCTGGGGCTCTAGGCCATGAACAGTAGCTTTACTCTGCTGTCGCTTGGATCAAGATGGCTGCTTGTTCATCGGCCCCGCTTCAGCAACGCGCGAGGAGCCCCAAGCTTGAGAACTTGAATCCAAAGCTCCAATCCCTTAGTTGCCACTTTTACCGCTTTCACCGCTTTTTCAAGACCCTGGATGCTCACCTTTCAATCGGGGCCCATTGAGCCTCAGGTCTTACAGCCCACTATAGCCTGACGTCCATAAGCACCCCACAACCTGCCCCAAAGCTCGACATCCCAAACCAGAAACCCTAAGCAAGGGAAATGACTACCTTTCTCGCATAGCACGTGAGCTGGGTTGTTGGGATGCAAATGCGTGCCGCATGCCAATCCGCCCGCTGGCAGATGGTGCGCTAAAGTTCGTGGGGAGGCCTCGAATAGGCGAACTGCTGGGCTTGTAGATGCAGCTCCATCTTTTGTAGCGATGAAGATGTCCTGCGTAGTTCTGCATAGCATAAAACTATCAATTTGCTGGTATACTGTAAAATGGTACCATATTAGGGGGGGGTTGGGGGGAGATGGGGGGGGTGGGGTTCAGTATTCGTGGGAGTTGGTCACTAAGCAAGAACTACATGGGGCCCTGCCGTAAATGCTACCAATATTGCCTACATCGGGATATTTGGATCCCTAGGGTTAGGGCAACCATCAACTGGACCCCTGAACCCTGAACCCTAAGTTCTAAACCCTGCTTTCGGGCTTTGTCATCCTCAAGTTCATGGGTCCTGGCTTCTGGTTTGTAGGGTTTCGGGGGCGAGGGTTCAGGGGCTGGGTAAACATCTTGTGCGCCCTTTAGCCGACGAGTTTTTTCATTTAACCCACGCCTTGGTTCCAACTGTTGCGAATGTAAAAGGAATGCCTTGTCTATAGGCAAATTGTAATGACCTCACGTAGCCTCAAGCCAAAATCGATTTATGTAGTTTATATGGAGGATGATTCCAAGTTACCTTACGTTAGGATGGTGTAGGGATTCCTGGGCCGCATGCAAAAAGAGAAGAACAACAACTCGCAAAAAGGAACACTCAACAAACGGTAACAAAGGGTTGATTATTTACCAAGCGCGTAACTGTTCCATAGGCCTGGCAGTATTTCCAGACTATGTACTCGACTCCCTACCGTCTTCCGCCCTAGCATACGGCAGTTTCCATAAACAGGAGTACCCTAACAATGCAATTTAGACCCCAATATGCTACAAGTCTTTTTATGTCGACCCAAACACGGTACCCGTAATTTTAGGACACTCCCATATAAATACAACGCACTGAGTTGGCCACCCTGCTTCAGAAATCTTTGTCGCAGGCAAGGTTTTATGAGCTAGCACTGGTACTTTTTCCTGAACGATCCATAAGCTTTTCTTGGGCATGTGTGGTCTTCCTCACTGGGTGAGATTGTCTACCCCAATCCAGGTGTAGTCCTGCAGATGAGCTCGCATGTCCTCCTCGGCACTTAGCTGGGACCTTGGACCCTTAACGTCTTGGTGCTCCGCTAGATATTGCTATGACAGGTGCCTTAAAGTTAACGTTTAGAAGGGGTGCTAAGCGCCATGGTGTGTTTGTCCTTGTGCTTACTACATGGAACAATGCGGGGATTTCTGAAGCCTTTTTAGGATTATGCAGCGACTATTACGACAAGCTCCCCTATGGCAGGTTTCGCGCTGGCGCTCCTCGTTGTCTGTGCGCCTTCCTCAGATTTAAAATACTTGATTGTTCCAAACCTTCCCTGTCCCTTGGGTAAGCTTTAGAGTTTTTTGCCGTTATAAAAAAAGGCCAATATAAGCCAAGTGCGCAACCTTGGAACACCCCAGGTACACACAACTGTAAGAATCTTTGGGGTTTGGAATTTTGGTGTCAAGCCGTGTGGCCAACGCATCGTTCATACTTGGCGTTCTGGGTGGCCGTTTGTGCATCTGCCATGAGCACGTGTATGTTGTGTGCAACTTTGGCGCACCTTTCGGGCCCTTCCGCAAGTCCTAGACAGGCCCCAATGGAATGGCAAGCCGATTCCGTGGATTTGCCCACATGTTCACGCTAAAACCACAGGAAATGCAGAACGTTCGAAATTAAATGTGATGTTGGTGGTGTTCAAAAGCTTGTCTGGAGCATAACATCCCCATACAACAGGTCCCGTACTCCCAAGCTGAAGTTTTCCCACCAAGCTGATTACAACATTGCGCTGGAATTCGGCCAGTGCGCCAATTTTCTTGGAGTCGGGCTTGGGCTTGTTTTGAGGCATACAACTTTTCTTGTGCAGGGTTTTCCAGTGGTTCTTTCCAGTCGTCCCAGCGCTGCTTTCCCACCTGAAGCTTTCAATCTCTCATCAGCGGTTATGATCATCTAGGGCTTGCGTGGGGTTCAGGCTCTACTGTATACAAGACTTTTATTAGTACATGAAGAACATGCAGGCTTCGTCGTTGCCCAGTGCTTCAGATCAAGCCTTTGCTCAGATGGTTTTTCCCTTCCGGAGCTGCTAAGCAGCGACGGACGCACCATTGGGCTTTGCTAACAGTTGTAAAACGTTATACATTATGTGGAACTGCGGCTAGCTTTTCAGTAATTCTGCTAGCTCATCATGAGTCAGAAACAGCACCGATGGTCAGGATGTGTTGATGATCGTGTACTGTGGTATGCAAAAGCCAGAGGAAAACAGTCGGTAATTTATAATGATGTCCCGTCCGGCCATGCTATGTCTGTGCGTGGCCACATGCATAGCCAGAAACGAGGAGTTGTTGTCAGCAGTGCACAGGGGCGACGCAGCAGCTGTCAGGGGGCTGCTCAGCAGGAACAGCTTTGACACCAACCAAATGCGGTTCGTTGATTTTTGGGGGGTAGAGAGTACAATGCTCCATGAAGCTGCTGATCGGGGTCACGCGCAAGTGCTGCAACTGCTGCTGACTGCTTGGCCGGAAGGTGCGCAAGCGAGGAATAGTTTTGGCCAAGTGCCCTTGCACTCGCCTGGAAGTGTTGAAGTTGCACAGCTTCTACTGGAACAATGGCCTGATGGCTTGAAGGTTGCCGATAGCACTGGACAGCTTCCCTTACACCGCACAGCCAGTCATGACCGTGAGTTTGTACAGCTCGAGCTGGTACGGCTCCTGATGCAAAAGTGGCCAGATGCATTGCAGGTAGTTGATCAGGCAGGAGGAACGCCGCTACACCGCACATGCCGGCATGGCAATGCGGAGGTTGCAAAGGTTTTTGTTGAGCAGTGGCCAGCTGGGTTGAACGTCACAGACCGCAGAGGGGGGTTGCCCTTGCACTGGGCAGCTCACAGTGGCAGCATTGAGCTTATGCAGTTCCTTTTGGAGCGGTTGCCCGATGCGCTGCATGTGCGTACAGGGCGCGGGGAAACAGTCTTGGAAATCGCTGCTGCGCGTGAACCTCTAGATTACGGTGATGGCGCCTTGCAACTGGCGATGTGGATTTTCAACAGGTCTCAACCGCTGCCCTTCAAAAACTCCAGGTTTGCATGTACGTTCTTGATCCAGGTGGCCTGCAGCAACAGCTTTGAGGTCAGTCAAGAGTGGACGGATGCTGCAAGAGAGCTGAAGTGTCATCAAGCAAATAGGCTGTTGAAGCCAGCGTTGCAGCTATGGCTTGATGTTTGCGACGGCAGCCCCAGCTGGAAGGACTCTTACCAAAGGCCACTTGTGCACAACTTGTATGATTTTGAAGCGAAGGACGGGTGAACCAAGCTTGCATCAAATCACTCCTGTTGGTCTTTGCTAGTCTAGTGGCACAGCACAGCTTTCACTTCCCAAAGCTCAACAAGCTAGGACAGCTTTACGTGTGGCATTGCTTTGCATAGAACAGCTCTTAACTCCGAACCGCCTTAGTGTGAGGATGTTGCCAACTGCACTTTTCTGGGGTGCCACCGCCACCTGTAGCAGCTAATCCCCTGGCAACCAAAAGCTCGTCTCGTCAAAGAGGACTTTCTGGAATCTCGCATGCCGGCAGATGCAGTCATTTCCATGACCCTTTCCGCATTCATCACGTGGTTTGTTCTGGCCGCAGTTGCAATTGCAGCTTGTGCAGCTGTGTGCCTTGAGCGGCTCGCCGTACAGCTGACGCAGTGCCGAAACCGGCGCCATCCAGGTCAGACACGGCCTGCTGCAGATCCATTCTTGCCGGGCGCCAAAGTATTGGTGGGGCAAGCTTTTGCCAGGCGGTCGTGGCTTCTGCGGCTGTGGCGTTGGCTGGAGGTATTAATTGCCATTTTCTGGTTTGGGTTTTCGCTGTTGCTCTTGCACTGGGTGTGGTGGTTGCCACTAGTGGCACTGGCCCACATCGTCCCCGCAGCTCTGCTCTATGGAGTTGGAAAGCTCATCCAGGCCCCCGTGCTGGCCATCATGACAATGGGCACGGCTGCGCAGGCCGTCATCCAGAAAGTTTTGTGAGGATGCCGTGTTATCTTTCAGAACATGTGTTGAACTCATCTGCAACCCAAGAAGTGTTTCAGAAAGCCCTTGAAGATCTCCTAGGAGGAAACCATTCCAGGGAACGCATGGGATGAATGCGAATACCACAACTGTATGATGAACCTGCCCTGATACCCCAGCCGTGGTATCCCATCGTATAGCTAACATGGCTGGAGCGTAAGTCGTACACCCTGCTGCTAGTTTCGCATGTGCAGGACAAGTCCACTCCGCGGTAGTAGCTTTCTCGCACGCAGAAGCAGACCTACAAGCCGAAAATGAGTTTTGGGTGGATCGCTTGAGTGTTTCGATGCTGTATCTCAACTTCTGGGGCGGTACTCTCAAGTCGGAGTAGCCGGACCGCCTACCATATGTGGTCACGTTTGTTCCCGAATGCTCCGCAGAAGGGTTCCCGTTTTAAGGTTGGGGTCCAGGGGTCCAGGAGGCGACGCGAGGTCGTGGCGTTTGCGTCCGCAAGCGTCCGCAAGCGTCCGCAATCGTTCGC